GGTGGATTTATTCAATCCCTTTAATGCGAAGAAAAAGTTAAAATTTTTATGGGTTGAGTTTCCCCCCAAAACAAATATCCAATGTTTGCAGGACACACTGGAGAAGCCTTACCTTTGTCAAGGCAGTCAAATCTCTCTCGCGCAGCACTAGTCCGTTCAGCTCTAGATTCTTGAGTGCACTTGATATACTTAAACAGCACTTGAGAGATTTACATAACTGGAAGGTCACATCTTTGTTTCTTATCGCAGGAACACGACTTCTGCAAACTTTACTTCTGTCAGAACCTAAAGCAAAATTATTGCAAAATATGTATTATCATTGTGAGAAAGCATCTGCTCTGTGTTCTTAAAGCCCTCTTTGAGGGACACATGTAAGCTCAAAGCATCAACCACACGAGATACAGAAATATAAACTATGGGTATAGAGGCTCCTATGAAAGCAAGATGCTATATCTAAGTGCGGCTTCAGGATAACCCTGAAGTTGAATCTAGAAAGGGAATGACCACATAGTCTGGGTGGGAGGAGCTTAACTGCAGAGAAAGCACCTGCGCAAAGACATCCAAGCCTGACACCTGTTGGCCATGGAAAATACTGCAGGTGGGGACGACGAAAGGCCAAAACACAAGGGGGAGGAGACAGAAATTACAATACAGAGGTTAGCCAAAGTAAGCCTCGGATAAAAAGCCTATGGCTTTTACCCGGAAGCTGATGAGGACAGAGGCTACCACTGGCACAGTAAAGGTGCCTCTGCAGGTTAGAAAAAAGTACCTAAATCAGACAGATTAGAAAAAGCACCTCTTCCTCAGGGCCAATTAGCCCCCTGGGGCTTGGCAGAGATTTCAAGCTTCTGTGCAGAGCAGAAACCTCGCAGCCCATACACAATAATCCTGTGCTGGTGAGCCCTTACAAGCATTATTTTAAGCATGTATTTTCATTTTAGAAGATCACTGAAGGGGTGCCTGGTGGGCTCAGTCGGTTAAAGTGGCGATTCTTGGTTCCGGTTCAGGTCATGATCTCAGGGTCCTGGGATTGAGCCCCGTGTTGGGACTCCATGCTGGGAGTGGAGTCTACCTGTCCCTCTCCCTCTGTTTCCGTACCCCCCCACCCCCGTCTCTCTCCTTCTTTCTCTCAAATAAAGAAAAACATCACTGAAGCCCAGTAAGCAGATGAACTGAGAGAAACTTTGAACTCAGAGGCAGCAACACTAGCTAGAAGTTGGCGAGGTGAAGCGCCTGGGAGGCGCAGTTGATTAGAGGATCCAGTCTTGATCTCAGCTCGGGTCTTGATCTCAGGGTTGTGAGACTGAGCCCAGTGTTGAGCTCAGCACAGAATCGCTTGAGATTCTTTCTCTCCCTCTGTCCCTCCGCTGCTCATGCTCTCGCTCTAAAATAAATAAAATCAAAGAAAGGAAGGAAGGAAGGGAAAGGAAAGGAAAGAAAAGAAAAAAGAAGAGGAAAGAAACGCAATGCTGGTGAGAATAAAGAAGCAAACCTAGGAGGTTGAAATCTACAGCCTGGAGCCACTGGATGCAAGAGAAAACAAAGGTTCAGGGGAAGAGAGTGGTCTCTATGACACATTTTTCTTACGTTCAATGTGAAAGATTAGGCAAGATTAAGCACAGTGGCCTTGACTTTGAGGTCTCTTCCCACTGTAATTGCTTCTGATTATTTTGGATACATCGAGTCCCTTCAGAGGTATGGAACAGTTACTACACCTGCATGAGATGAGAGAATAATGTGACTTCTCTTCACTAGGGGATAAATTGAAATGTCCTTGCAGAAGAGATAACAGATGATGTGAAACCCAGAGCCTAGAAAAAGCACATGACAATTGTTCAGATTTTTTTGGTTTTGGTTTTAAAGATTTTATTATTTATCAGTGAGAGAGAGAGAGAGAGAGAGAGAAGCAGGCTCCCTGCTGAGCAAGGAGCCCGATGGGGCACTCGACCCTAGGATCCTGGGATCATGATCTGAGCTGAAGGCAGACGCTTAACCAACTGAGCCACCCAGGTGTCCCAAGTGTTCAGGTCTAAAAAATATATCCATAGTCACCTTCTCTCCTGGATCTTCACATCCTGTGTCCTGGCTACTTTGTCTCAGCTTGTAAACATACTCAAGTGGGTCCATTTTATTTTCTATTTATTTTTTTATTTTAAGGATTTTTATTTATGTATTTACTTGACACAGAAAGAGAGACAGCAAGAGAAGGAATACAAGCAGGGGGAGTGGTAGAGGGAGAAGAAGGCTTCTTGCTGAGCAGAGAGCCCGATTCAGGGCTCTATCCCAGGATTCTGGGATCATGACCTGATCAAAAGGCAGACACTTCACTACTTAGCCACCCAGGCGCCCCAAGTGGGTCCATTTTTTAAGATTTTATTTATTTATTTGACAGACAGAGATCACAAGCAGGCAGAGAGGCAGGCAGGGGTTGGGGAAGCGGGGAAGCAGGCTCCCTGCTGAGCAGAGAGCCTGATGTGGGGCTCAATCCCAAGACCCTGGGATCATGACCTGAGCTGAAGGCAGAGGCTTTAACCCACTGAGCTTACCCAGGTGCCTACGACCAAGTGGGTCCATTTTAAAAAAAACATCTTTCAGGCTTAGGATTTTCTAGATCTTCTTTGTGGGTTACTTCAGTTTCTCCCATATCTCAGACATTCCCCCATAAAGCCCAGATCTGCACCTGCAGTCCCGAGATGGCTAGCAGACATGCTGGGATGCCCCACCGGACCCTCCTAAAGCATTAACGATGAAGTGAGATTTTCCTCCCAACCCAAATCCCCTCCTACTGTGTTCTGTGCCTCACAGAAAGATACCGCTATAAACTGTCACCCAAGCTTGCTGCCCTCCCCCGCAACTGGTCACCAGGCCCTGTCCATTCTATCTCTTTGATCTCTGAAATCCAGTCCTCCCTTTCTATACCTTAATTTGGGCTCTCAGATTACTATTTGTCCTCCTCCCAATCAACTGCCTTCCATATGGAGGGCACAGCAAGCTTCTAAATAAAAAAATCCATCTCATCATCCTTGTGTCTCCCACAACCATTGGGATAAACATCCAACTATGTGATAGGACAAACAAGGCCCCTCCCTGTGTGGCCCCTGCCAGGTTGGTTTCCAGTCTCAGTTCTCACTTCTAGAACCCTAAGTTCTTGTCCTGTAGTTTTGCCATATTTTTATATTTCTCAAACTTTCGCACAAGCAGCTCCCTTCTGCCATTTGAATAGCTTCTCACATCCTCAGAAAGGAGGCACCTCCTCCAAGAAGTCTCCCCTGAACATTCCTTTCATTGTTCTCTGCTTTGCAGCACCAGAGGTTACTTCTTCCAGAACACTGACTACTGTGCTTGTGTTTACTTGCTGCCTCCTCCAGTAGAAGAGGACATCCTCTAGGCCAGGAGCCTTGCCTCCAACAGTGCTTAGTGCTGGCTGAGCTCATCTAAGTGCCCAGAAACTTTATACAACTTGTGCAATTCTTTTTTTTTTTTTTTTTTTGCCAAAACGATTTTTTTTTTAATTCCAGTGTAGTTAACATACAGTGTGATATTAGTTTCAAGTGTACCATACAGTGATTCAATAATTCTGTACAGGGGCTCAGTGGGTTAAGCTTCTGCCTTCCACTCAGGTCATAGTCTCAGGGTCCTGGATCTCTGCTCAGTGGGGAGCCTGCTTCCCTCACTCTCTCTGGCTGTCTCCCTGCCTATTTGTGATCTCTCTCTCTCTCTCTCTCTCTCTGTTAAATAAATAAATAAAATCTTTAAAAATAAATAAATAAATAATTATGTACGTTACTCAGTGCTCACCAGGGAAGTGTACTTTTAAACAACCTGTTAATTCTAAGAAGAGATGGAAAGAATAGTTTTAATGCCACTTTACAAGTGTGGGTATTGTAAAAAAGTAACTCGCTCAGGCCACACAGAGTCTATCTACTATAAGATGTCACTAAAAATAATAATAAAACAAAAACAGTTTTTTTTTTTCCCCCCCTAAGAGCTATGTCTTACTCAAACCGAAACGAAGCAAAAGCCTGAGCTGTATCAGTTTTCCAAATCGCTTTGTTCTCTGTCAGGCTAACTCGTTCAGAAAACCAGGCAAGATCTGTCGAACGCTTAACGATGCCCCAGACCGCGCTAAGTGCTCTACGAGCAATAACTCCGTGCATCTTCGCAATCACCACGTAAAGCGCGTCCTGTTGGCCCACATCACGGATGGGAACGCTGAGACCTACGGGGCCGTAACTGACTCACTCCGGGCCACTGAGCTGGTAAGAGTCCCCGGGGTGCTGCACCCAGACCGCGGGACTGGCCACCCCGGCTGGTGCCCAGCCTTCACCGGGCACCGTCTAAAATCCCGCTTCGCCGCACCGTCACCAGGGCCCCCCGAAGCGGGAACTACAAACCTGTTTCGCCAAGCCACGGCTGGAAGAAGCTCTTGATAGAGACTAGGGGCAGATCTTTATTAATCTTGAGGGTGCTCAGGAGCGGCGCCCAGTCCACGAGGCGCAGGCGGTCGGCATTGAAGTCCAGCACGCCCTCCCGCAGGCAAGCGCGCACCGAGGGCAGCGGCACCGAGTCCTGCAGCGCGCACAGATATTCATAGTGCGAGAAGAAGTCGGCCGCACTGTCGCGGCGCAGCTTCACCGAGTCGATCATGGCCAGGCGTTGGCCTCCAGGGACGCCGGCGGCGGAGACAATGCCCGCGGGCGCCCGGGAGTGCCGGGTCGCTCACGGCCGGGTAGCTGCGACCCCGCGGCTACGCAGCACCGGCAGCTCAGCCGGAAGACGCAGGGTCCCCGGCCACAGCTAGGCCGGACCCTCGACGCCGCGCTCCCGCATCGCCCCCCGCCCCCGCCGCAGGCCGTTGGCTCCCGCCCCACCGACCTCAGCCGCGCGGGACCGCGATTCAAGCCGGCGGGCGGAGCCTGCAGGGGCGGAGCGCGGAGACGTCAGCACGCGCGCTGTGCGTCAGCCCGCAGGGGGAGCCCCGCCTCTCGGGGGGACCCGGCGTGAGATCAAGAGGCGGGCCCTCCGAGGCGAGGGAGGTGCGGAAGGTAGGCGGTTTTCGGGATTTGAGGTTTGCGGAGAGGTTTTTCTGGTCGAATAACAGTGAGAAATCGATGTAGCAGCACAGTTAAAAAGTGGTCTGAAGTTCTGACGCGTGTCTTGTTTGCACCGCCCAGGAGAAAAGACCCTTAATAAGGGATGTGCAAGCGATTTAGTGGATGTCCACTGCTGTCCATTAAATCTTTGCTGTGTTAATTCCTACAAGTAACTCTTCATTTTTGTAGTTTCGACGTACCTCACACGGCTGTTGGCATATTTAATGAGTTCCATAAATTCAGGACGTTATTGCGATTACTAGTAATCGCTTTGTGTTGACATTTAACTCTCTCATAATTGTATTGTCTTCTAGGCTTTTTTTTTTTTTTTAGTAAAACGATAGAAGTTTGTTAGATGAAGATACAGAAAAAGCTCTGGAGTGAGAGGGGGTCCCGACAGGGTTGCCTTTAGGGTTGGTCTTTTATAGAAAGCTAACCAGGGAATGTAAATGCTTTTAACATTTCTTTTTTTTTTTTTTTTTAAGATTTTTAATTTATTTATTTGACAGAGAGAGCGCGCACAAGAAAGCACAAGCAGGGCGAGCAGCAGAGGGAAAGAGAAGCAGGCTTTCGGCTGAGCAGGGAGCCTGATGCGGGACTGGATCCCAGGACCTGGGATCATGACCCGAGCTGAAGGCAGATGCCCAACCAACTGAGCCACCCAGGCGCCCTGCTTTTAATATTTCTATTGATACCACCACTGAGCAAGGACTATCCATAACACCTTCAAATGGCTTACTTCCTTTTTAGGGTATGGTTGATTATCCGCCCGCCCTTTTTAAAAAGATTTTATTTATTTATTTGAGAGAGAGAGAGAGAGCACAAGCCAGCGGGGAGAGGCAAAGGGAGAAGCAGACTCCCTGCTCAGCAGGGAGCCCGACCTGGGTCTGAGTGGAAGGCAGATGCTTAACCAACTGAGCCACCCAGGCACCCCCATTGCAAGTGATTATCATAAAAAGGCACCCACCCCACTTGCTTAGGGCAGGGTGGCTGGACCTACCCTGCACGCCCAAGGCATTATTTTTTTCTCAAAGGTTTTTATTTATTTATCTGAGAGAGAGGGAGAGCACAAGTGGGGACCGGGAGGCAGACGGAGAAGGAGAAGAGCACGCCCCACTGAACAGGGAGCTCCAGGCAGGGCATGAGTTGAAGTCGGTTGCTTAACCCACTTGAGTTACCCAGGCCCACCCTCCCAGGCATTATTTTAAGCACTGTTTAAGTATGAAATAATTTAATTTTCCTAACAACTCCATAAGGAATATATGATTGTATATCCACTAAGTAGGTAGAACTCAGATAATTGGCCTCTGAACCTGCATTTGTATACAGTTTCTAGAATGGTGATAATCTTTAGGTGTTATGTTTATAGCATTCCTCTTCCATTATAGAGCCAAACTAAAATGGACTCACTTATGTCAGGGACAAAATGAAGATGGTCAATTGCCACACATAAAGGAAACTTAAATAATTACAGGAATATACAGCTCTGCTTAGAAATCAGCAAAGGACACCAGCCAGTCCCCGAATGCCAACTCTGATCTCACCTTCTCTGGACTTCCTTGTTCCCTTGACTCAGCTACCCTGATCCAAATAAGATAGAATACGACTAGGCAACCACTCAGCGGAAAAAACCAAATAACTTCTGCATTGCCCCATAAAAATCCCTTAGCCTGCGAGAGACTCAGAATTGATTGCTCCCAGAGGCTGAAGGTCAAAATCCTTGAAATAAGCTCATCTTTCTGTTTTGTTTTATTCAATATGTGGAGTTTGGTTTTTGACACCATCCACTGGTTAAGTGGGATAATTTTACCTCTCATTTACTATATTTCACTGATTCATCCTGACATTATTCCCAGACCCCCAACCCAGCTTACTTTCCCGTGGATCCTCAGTGCTGATGCCTTCTGCTCATCTCTAACACTGATCTTCTCTGGACCTGGTTTCAGAGCAACGAGTTTATTGGATCCAGTCACAGACCTGTGTGAACCTGGTCAACAACATAGGCTGTCTTATTTTAACTGCCAAGTCATTCTCATTTCTTTTTTCCATCCCTTTACTTAAAACAATTCACAAGGGCTCTTCCAGACCTCCTCTATTCTTTTCATGTCACCATTAGATACTGTGTCCCTGCTCTCTGACCTGAAGAAGATACCTCTTATTTCACCCGCAAAATAAGTTTTCAGGCACAGACTTCTTCAACTTCTTTCCATGAACTCTGGCTGCCTTCCAATCCATGCTTCGTAATGCAGCCCCTGCTTCCTGTTCGAATCCTTCCATAACTTCTCATTTCTCTTAGGATAAAGGCAATCCTCCTCACAATTGTTTAAGATATAGCTGCTCAATGTGGACTCACAGACTGGCTGCAGTTGAGAATGGTTACTGTTCTCTAAGATGAGGAGCTTGCTTCAGAATGTAAATGCACTAACCATCCTGTTCATTTCAGCAGATGAGATTCTCTTGATGATGGTAGCAGTGTGTTGGTACATTCTAGAGCAAGCTCCTTATCTCACTGTCCACTGGCACTTTGAGTGTCTGATCCCCTGATCCAGCATCCCCTTGATGTGATGGAGGCATGATCTCTACAACCTCATCTTGCACCCCTCTCTCTTTCATTTTTCAGGAGTCTAGCCCACAGTGGACTCCTCTCAGACCTACATACTTGTGGTTCATTGTCCATGCTTTCCCGTCTACATGAATATTCCCTTCCATATGCTCCCGGTTAATGCCTTCTCATCCTTCTCATGTCATGTGTCACATTGCCAAGGAAACATTCCCTTACCTACCCTACTCATCAAATCCCCCAACCTAAGCTCTTATAACACCATGTCTCTCTCATTCATAGACTTCATCACATTTCACAGCCCATTTTTTTTTATTAATTTTATTTTTTTAAACATATAGTATATTTTTATCCCCAGGGTACAGGTCTGTGAATCGCCAGGTTTACACATTTCACAGCACTCACCATAGCACATACCCTCCCCAATGTCCATAACCCCACCCCCCCCCCCCAACCCCCCTCCCCCCATCAACCCTGTTTGTTTTGTGAGATTAAGAGTCACATATGGTTTGTCTCCCTCCCAATCCCATCTTGTTTCATTTACTCTTCTCCTACCCCCTTAGCCCCCCATGTTGCATCTCCTCTCCCTCATATCAGGGAGATCATATGATAGTTGTCTTTCTCCGATTGACTTATTTCGCTAAGCATGATACCCTCTAGTTCCATCCACGTCATCGCAAATGGCAAGATTTCATTTCTTTTGATGGCTGCATAGTTCCATTGTGTATATATACCACATCTTCTTTATCCATTCGTCTGTTGATGGACATCTAGGTTCTTTCCATAGTTTGGCTATTGTAGACATTGCTGCTATAATCATTCGGGTGCATATGCCCCTTCGGATTACTACGTTTGTATGTTTAGGATAAATACCCAGTAGTGCAATTGCTGGGTCATAGAGTAGTTCTATTTTCAACATTTTGAGGAACCTCCATACTGTTTTCCAGAGTGGTTGCACCAGCTTGCATTCCCACCAACAGTGTAGGAGGGTTCCCCTTTCTCTGCATCGTCGCCAGCATCTGTCATTTCCTGACGTGTTAATTTTAGCCATTCTGACTGGTGTGAGGTGATATCTCATTGTGGTTTTGATTTGTATTTCCCTGATGCCGAGTGATATGGAGCACTTTTTCATGTGTCTGTTGGCCATCTGGATGTCTTCTTTGCAGAAATGTCTGTTCATGTCCTCTGCCCATTTCTTGATTGGATTATTTGTTCTTTGGGTGTTGAGTTTGCTAAGTTCTTTATAGATTTTGGATACTAGTCCTTTATCTGATATGTCGTTTGCAAATATCTTCTCCCATTCTGTCAGTTGTCTTTTGGTTTTGTTAACTGTTTCCTTTGCTGTGCAAAAGCTTTTGATGTTGATGAAGTCCCAATAGTTCATTTTTGCCCTTGCTTCCCTTGCCTTTGGCGATGTTCCTAGGAAGATGTTGCTGTGGCTGAGGTCACAGCCCATTTAAGATAGAAATAGAGATCACCATATGGTCTGTGAGGAAGAGATCATGTCTGTTTTGCATCGCCAGGGACTAACACTGTTACTACATGCTACATATAACTGTAGCACTAGTTACAGTACTTCTTAAATGAACAAATGAATGTACCTAATCAATCATCAAGCCCTGGCAGTTTTTCCTTTATAGCATCTCTCGTACTCCTTTCTTCTATTTGTGTTGCCATTATTCGCCATTTATTATCTTACATGTGGATTGTGATGATAGCTTCAGGCTCTCCTTACATCATTTATAAAGCTTCCCTAGGTTCATGGGTCATCCTGTTGCCCTGCCCAAACCTTCCATGACACCTGTTGCCAACACAACAAACCCCTAACTTTTAAGAATGACATTTAAAACTTTCCACGGTTTGGCTTTAATTTCACTTACCCGGCTTGTTTTTAATCTATGGGTCTAATTATCTCTACATCTTTGCTTCCTTCCAGCTCTGTGTATTGTGTCAAAAACTCTTCTAGTCACCACCCTTGTGTCTCCTTCTCTGGGAAAGTTTCACAGACAATCCAAGCAAGATATGGATCCCTTCTCACCTCTGAACTTGGGAACAGTTTAATAGGATGTATCTGGCACTGCCATAAGGCATCTACATCTTATCTTCCCTGCTGGTATCTAAACTCTTTGAGAGCACGGACACATCTCTGTGTTCTGTGCGGTTCTCAGCATTGCTGTTATACACATAGTCAACCTAGTCAGTGAATATTTGGTGAATGAATGAATGAATGTTGAATGAAATGAGTTCTCTGGCTCTTTCTGTCTTTTTCTACTTTTCAAGGTTCTGTAGTTAGTTACATTTGGACAATAGGCTGCTTCATAGCAACATAATAACCCAGCTCACAGAGTGTTGCAAATAGCTGCTAAGAACATCCCTCTGCCACTTTAGAACA